GGAACGGATGGTGATCTGAACGAAATCCTCGTGAAAGTTGAACAGCAGCTGTAACAGTACGTGGTTTAATGGGGCGCTAATGTTATGTGGCATTCCAGTATTGATGAACTGCTGCCACTCTGAGAAAGAGTTTGCCAACCAGGGGGACAGATCGCTGGTAACTCCAGCGTCATTTAGACGACTGAGAAAAACAGCACAGTGCATCATCTTCAATGCCGATGATGAGTCAATGAAAATGACCGCTGCTGTAAATCCTCGTCGCAATGAGGACCGAACAACAAACGCTAATATCAGTGTAAAGGGCTTTGCCAAAAATGCCAGCTGCCAGGTGTTTCTGTGGCTCTCCGGTTGCTCTTATGGGGCATGCTTCATCAGCGATTCGACACCTGTAAGAAGCACAAACGTTATTGCGATGGGCCTGCAGGTTTTCTGGTTCAGTTGAAATCGACGACTTTAGCAGATGGGTGATCTCGGCAAAGCGCCAACAGTCAGAAATGATTCAATATCGTTCTAAGAAGCAGCTGAGCTGGTTACTGCAAAGAACATGAACTTTCGGCATGGAGACGTCACAACTGGAAGCGTTATTCACTGAAGGGTAAGTGAGGCGATGCAACAATTCCGCTTACTCAAGGAGTATCCTTCAATAAGTATTTTGCATAACATACGAGTACGCGAAGAATCAGCCTCGACTGGTAGCATAGGAGCATTCAGTGCATCTAAGATATCAAATGATTGGGATAAAGACGACTGTCGAATAGTTGAGATGCAAGATTCACTAAGTTATTGTCCATTCCACAAGTTATGCAACAGTATGTCTGAGCTGCCTAAGAATTCCATCAGGCCAGCGTAGACTGAAAATATGTTTCAGATTTCCAACATGTCGCTGTTTGTAGGACCTATTGAAATTTTTCACAATTAGGATTAGGATATCGAGTGCTAGCAGGGACCAAAGTACGGAACTACATGAAATGGCGAGGCACAGCGGAGTGTATTCCCCTTGTTTCGAAAAGTTGTTACTACGGTAAACTCTGAAAATATAGTAGAAACAGTAGAGGTTGATTGGCATGATTTTGGAGTTCATATGAGTAGAATCTACGAATTGGTCGAAATACGTTGTTTAAACTGATGAACAGCACTTTTTTATTGAGTGGACTTCGTCAACTTATAC